TCGATCACATACTTCGTTGAGAGGTCGACAGTTGGAGTCTGCGAGTCACACACTGATTTCCGAGAATCAAGGCAGACACTTGGGATGACCGCCGACCTGATAAGCTGATTCATTTTCCAAGTATTCAACAGTACACTATACTACAACCTACAACCACACTACACTACACTACGGCTTACACCGGATGCAAGTCATGCAAGATCGAGTGGTAGGGAAGAGCTGTGCCTTATGACCTGAAATCTGCTTGGCTCTGAACATCAACGTGTCAAAGTAAATAAGGTGAGTATCATATACGTAGGTTAAAACACCTGCATACACCTGCGTTACAGCTATATGTAGAAATATTTCCATTGTGCTGCTTCGCGAGGGAGTAAATAATGTCTTGGACTGAACACAACTGATCAAGTTCATGTCCAATTTCCTTCTTTTCCACATGCGTTCCAGGCTTTGAATTGAAAAACAACAGCTATGTCGAATTCAATAGAAACAGTCACGAACAAGTTATTCCTAGTTTTGAAAACGTCATGATAGATGTCATCACCCCAGGAATAAAATGTGCCGCCGCCTTTCATTAGGATAAGAGAGATCATAGAAGTAGAGGCATTCGAGAAATTTTCGAGCTAAAGTTTCGCATACCTTCAATTCAGATATAACTTACAGAAATTTCGCGCTGCATACATTTTTGAGTAAANATGGCTGAAATGGATTTATTTGTAAGAATATAAATAGTTTATGACTGCGATCAATGCCATCTCATATATTATGTATTACACTTTCGGACTTTATAGGGAGAACGTGATGTTATGGCAGGTGGCGTACTTTATAGTGCACATGACCCCTAATATTTCATCCCACCGGAAAAATTATTGTCAGCATCCCGGTGTGGTTAATGAGCATAACGCGAATTAATTCCGGTATGATTTTGCTTTGATTTTAATTTCAAATAGCAATAAAAAAAAGATTCTGCCACCAAATTTGCTGATATAGTAACCTACAGCTTTGGTGGTGACTGCTGCTTCAGTTGTGAAGGCGTTAAGCGGGAAAAGAGCACAGACAATGTAGAAGAACGTATCCGATGCTGCCAAATTGAATGTGTAAGATCAGTAACTAGGCTTATTTGTACGCATTACCTGAGAGTGAAGAACAATGCCATTGTTCCAGAATTGCAGCTGTTTCCGTAGTCGAAAGCATGGGTAGAATTTTTCGCAAGTACTGTGGTTTAAATATTTCTTTTGGACTTTATTCGACTAACAAAGAAAAACTTTCTCTTCGTTCAATACATAAAAAACTGATAGGAATAGAAGAGGGTTAGGTCCACTTTTCTACAGGACCTGCAGAATGAAAATGCTCAAACACCTACTCGCTTATCGTAGGGTCTGATTTTTTGGTTGATTTTTTGATTCCGGCGATATTGCTTTTACCGCAAGAGTACAGACAATCTATGCGAAGCACACATCTGGAGCTTTGATTATGGTTAAACCTTATTCTTAAAGGCGAATCGAACCCGTACTTGTATTCTCCAAACGGTGAAATTTACGGAACGAAAAAAACATCACTCAACAGTTATCGAGTAGGAGTACTTAAAAAGGTAAAAGGTGTTTCGCTGCTGCAGCTGATGAATCAAAAAAGGAAAGAAATAATTGAACTGGGCTTTAGGCAGCAATATAACTCACAGTTTACTTCCTTATCTTCCAACACTTGAATGAGAAAATAAGTTGTGAACCAGGGTGGTGTTGGGAAAATGGAGTTTGTGTACCATAGTGCTGTAATTCTTCAATAAATGTGGTCTTTCATGATAATGACATACATACATTGTGAACCAGTAAATCCAGCCAACTACGGGAATATACAAATATGGCAACTGTTGCAATGGTTCCGCAGGAGTGGAGGAAGGAAATTGATGTAGAAGAACATATGGATTACTACAAATTTTAAGGCTGGGCAATTAGAAACCGGGTCCATCTAGAGTGTATTAACTAAAAAATAAGAACAGCGCTATTGAAGCAGAGTCGTAGCTACTCTAGCAGTCAAGTAGTAGTCGCCTAGATAATACTTCTCGCAAATATTTCTATGAATCGACTTTCGGAGCCATATTCGTTCAAGGCTACAAGAATGATAGCAGAATAGCTTCATCGAGAACTGGCGTTCAAGCAAAATTGTCTTCTTCAAAGTTATGGGGAAAAGCTACATCTTTACCGTAATCGCTCGAACTTTGGATGTGTTCTCGCCTTTATAACCAAGGCACATAAAACTTGAACAGGAGTCAAGTAGTGGAAAGAGCCCCCAAAACAATAGTAAGAACTCTTTCCACACTGAAGTTTGAGAGCTTCATAGTTTTTTATCAGGTCAGAAGGTCTTTTTAACCATGCTGGACAAACCTAATGCTCCAAGCTCAGTCATTGCCCTGGAGTATATATGTACATACTCATGTTGAATAACACCAAATCGCTCACTCATTCTTTTCTCATGAGTCGATTGCTATACAGTTACTCAAGAACTAAGAGAATGATCGGCCCCCATCGTCAAAGTTTTTCTTAAGACATGTGGGNGGGAGAGAATCTGCAAATCTGATTAATTATGCATGTACTATCATTAATTCATTACGCTGATCGGATTTTAGGCAACGTAACAAGCGCCCGCTGTTTCAAGTCTCTATTTACATGCTTCGGATCGTAGCAGTAATGAATTTCTCTGTCATGATCGAAAGATCGAAAAAGCTTCCAAAATGAAATGACTCGGTTTTTAAGCCTTCAAAATGAACTCTGCGTATAGATTGTATTATTTAATTGAGAACATCGATAAGAAGAATATGGAAATAAAATAGTCGTTAAAAAGCGCAGTCTGCAAGCAATGATGGGTCAAGTGTTTGGGTACCCCCCTTTCTGGGAGCCAAACGCTTTTTCATTGAACTCAAAAAAGCGAACTAGCCTACAGGAAGGCTTACACGTATATTCATTTGCTGTTTTAGTGAGTGGTGCTTTTCGCACGAATCGCCAATCTTGGTAGCCCTTCACTTCATTTGCGAGTCCTTTGTGTTTGAGCATCTTCATTCTGCAGATCCTTCAAGAGTAGACCGAACCCTTCTATTTCCATCAGCTCTTCATAAGTATAGAACAAAGAGAAACATTTTCTCAGTTAGTCAAGCAAAGTACGGAAAAAAATTAAGCCACAGCACTTGCGAAAAGTCCGCCCATGCTTTTAACTGCGGAAACAGCTGCAACTTCGAAACAATTGCATCGTTCTTCACTCTCAGGTAATGCGTATAAATAAGCCTAGTCACTGATTTTACACATCCAATTTGGTAGCCTCGGATATGTTCTTCTACACTGTCTGCGCTCTTTTCCTGCTTAACGCCTTCACAACTGAGGCAGCAGTCACCACCAAAGCTGTAGGTTACTATATCAGCAAATTGTGTTTCAGAATGAGCAAATTGTGCTTTTTTTATTGCTATTTGAATAGGGTAGGCAAGATGGGTTGTACAAAATCAAGGGCAAACAATCGATTATTGAAATCAAAGCAAAATCATACCGGAATCAGTTCACGTTATGCTCATTAACCACACCGGGATGCTGACAATAATTTTTCCGGTGGGATGAAATATTTGGAGTCATGTGCACTATAAAGTACGCCGCCTGCCATAACATCACGCTCTCCCTATAAAGTCCGAAAGTGTAATACATAATATATAAGATGGCATTGAGCGCAGTCAATTTTATAAACTATTTATATTCTTACGAATAAATCCATTTCAGCCATACGTAGACAGAGGAGGTGAAGCATACTGCTCGGTTCACAGCGGCAGCCCCGATTAAATATGCACCAATATATTGAAATACTACCTTGCATCGCAGCTCTGTGCCAAAACATGCGGTGTTTGCTTGTGAATGTTTGACAGGATGAATCGACAATAAATCTTCTTCTCAAAGTTGCTGTTTCTTTTGTTGTTGAGTCAAAAAGAAACTGGGTTTTTTGAAGGATAAATCTCCGATCTAACATCTCATTCAGGAGGGTATGGTACTCACTATGTCTCACTCGACAGTCACTTTCAGCAAATGGAATTTTCACAATTCCTCGATTTTATCGTCTCGAATACAACATCGCTGTTGTATTTTCGATCGTGTGTAGATGCAGTAGCGCCATATCCCACTTTCACCCTTTCCATATACACTATAATACTGAAAATACACTATAATACTGAGAATAGTAAATCATGATAAACAAACGTCAAATTCGAGGTTCAAGTCTTTGCCTAAGTGCGTGCTACATTATGACATTCAATGATACTAATACATTTAAATTCATTAGTATCGACTATAAAACAAAAAATCACCAAGCGCAAACGGTGAGGCCAGCGCAAACGCCACAGCACCTTTCATTCTTGCGATTTTCTAGAAATTTTTTCAATTACTTCTCGAATTGTATCTGAGACGCTTCCGAACAGAATTATCGTCGATTTGGACTTCCACCCATTTTTATTCCTTATTCTGGGAGGCTTTTGAACAACAGTAAACCTCCAGTTGAAAGAACCTTTTATTCGGAAGCACGCTCTGCCCACGAGCTTTGTTGAGATTACCCATGTACATTCAACTTAGACATGGCTCAAAAAAACAATATTTTCTGATCTTCAGTGAATTTGTGTACATTTGCTCCGCTTAATATTCAAGACAACAGATGTTGTGGATCTCTGGTCAATTAGACACACAAGCACACACATATGTACATACATACACTCTTACGCACATACACACTGACAAAACAGTAGACAGGCTTAACGAGTTTCAAAGAGGAAGTTGATTAAATTTAGCAAAGAGTTGGAATTCTCTCAAAAATTCTCAGGCACTCTAACAGCAACTCTACCAACACCTGATCATTTGAGCAGCCCTACTAAAGCATCCCTCCATTATTGGTCATTTGTGTCGCTGCGACCCAAATTCGTAAAGAGAAGGCTTACTCTTGCAGTGGAGCAACTTTATTCAGGCCCATCTTGCCGATCAGTAGACATGCTCAAGCAAATGATTACATGCGGAATGAATGTCGCTCGTCTTAATTTTTCGCATGGAACTTATGAGGTAATAGACTTTTTTGTTTGTCGTAATTCCCAGTCGAATGGTTGCGAACTAAGAAAAACTGTGTTTATANAAAGCATCCCTCCATTATTCGTCATTTGTGTCGCTGCGACCTGATTCGTAAAGAGAAGGCTTACTCTTGCAGTGGAGCAACTTTATTCAGGCCCATCTTGCCGATCAGTAGACATGCTCAAGCAAATGATTACATGCGGAATGAACGTCGCTCGTCTTAATTTCTCGCATGGAACTTATGAGGTAATAGACTTTTTTGTTTGTCGTAATTCGTAGTCGAATGGTTGCGAACTAAGAAAAACTGTGTTTATAAGAAACTGACTAAATTTTCCTGGGCAGTTCTCGTTGATGCCGGGTTTACGATAAGTTCTGGGTATCTTTTTCAAGATAAGAAGCCGAGGTACTAGAGCAGTTGAAAGTTGCGAAAATACTGGGTTGTGCGAGATTGTAGAGCGGAAGTGGCATTAGGGAAGTATTGGGATCAGATCTCAGTGCAAATGAAACGTTGGCTACAGTAAGCCAAGAACTGCTTTGCAAGGTCGCCATGAGTTACGAGTTAATTGAATTTTTACCATGTTTCGTTGTTGAGGCTGCCCCAGTGTGGATCTCCTTTGAACACGTCGCCTCTTGAGTGTAAAAAAATGACAAAGCCGATCTTTGTGCTCTTACCATCTAGGCGAAGAGCGCTCCTTATGAAGTACATGAGAGCAGCAGGTCCGTCTTAGGAAATCTTAGAACTATTTTGGTCTTCAACAGCGCCTTCAAGACAGCATGAAACATTCCTCCGAGCAGTCAAGAAAAGAAAACTGTTCGAGTATTTGCATTAAGGCAAAAAATGACAACGATGTGTTCAATTTCAGTACCACGGTGGGACCATCAAGAACGTTCGGCAGGCGGTTGAACAAATGGGAGGATCTCTTCAAATCGGAATCGCTCTCGACACCAAGGGACCAGAAATTAGGACTGGCCTGCTGTCTGGTGGAGCCACCGCTGAGGTTAGAAGCATGTCTCAGATAAAGTACCTAATTACCGAGGTGCCACTTAATCTAAGAGTGGAAACAGTCTAAAAGGATTGATCCGATTAATATAAAGTAAATGAATTTCTGCAGTCTGTTCGGACCCAGACTGTCAGAATCCCTCCTGAATATTCGTGGGATCATGTGGGTACTCTTTGACTTGCTGTGCCAATTCCCTTCTTTAACCTGACGGTATGAACAAAAATGGTATTGAACAACAGATCGGCTCGCTCGGCTGACGCCGTGCTCCCCTCCTTTTTGTATTAAAATGGCCTCCCCACCTGCACCTCTTCCAAATTTAGAGGCCTCAGTAGTTGAAAACAGGAATTACTCATTCTCGGCCAAACGCAAACTTCAAGTCTAGGTTAACATTTTTCTGCCCACGCCTCCCCTCCTGTGAGCTCAGTTAAGTCTTGCCGCCCTTATAGGTGCTCCCATCTGCCGCCCGTATTTCTATCAAATATAAGCGCTCTATGTCCAAGTTTTAGTTTTTCGCACAAACCCCGCCCCATAAGGGTGGAATCTAGACTTGCGACCCACCATAAGTATTTCTATCCTGCCGCCTGCACAACCATCAAGTTTGAGGGCTCTGGGTCCACGGGAACAACATCTATGAAGTTCCACTCAAACCCCACAAATCCCACTGTGGGCGGTGTCCGGTCCTGCTACCCACCATAAAAGCTCCGATACTGCCGCCTGAACTCCTACCCATTTTGAACCCTCTAGGTTATCACCTGTATCACCTGTCGCCCCGTTGATCATCGATTTCCTCGAGCGGGCGCCGGTAACGTCTCCATTCGTCCCTGTCACGAGCCAGAGTGGTCCGGTGAATCGTTCTCGCTTCAGGGACACGAGGCTCAACATTCCTTTCGTTCAGAGCTTTCGTGAAGAAGTCTGACCATCTCGTCGGCGGCCTTCCTGGAGTTCGTTTGATGTCCCGAGGGATCCAGTCAGTAACCGCCCTGGTCGAACGGTCATCACTATATCGCATAACGTGTCCGGCCACCTGATCTTCGATTTCTTGGCGTAATCAACGGCATCCCTGATCTTCGTTCGGTGACGGAGCTCGGAACTCCGGATTCCCTTCTGCACTTGCGTGTATAGGGAAATTCCGAGCATCGACCTTTCCAGAGCGCGTTGAGTAACGCTGACAGCATGCTCATCCTGCTTTCGTAGAGTCTAGGTCTCCGAGGCGTACGTCAAAGCAGGAAGGACAGCAGTGTCGAAAAGGTGAGCGCTGAACCGGATGTTCTTTGTCTTCTTCACTACTCTCTCGATATTCTTAATTGCTCCCCACGCGGCGCGTTTCCTTCTGCACAGCTCTGGAGCTAGGTCGTTCATCATGTTGACTTCCCGACCTAGATACACATAGCCAGAGCATTCGGAGATATTCGTTCCGTTTAACGTGAAAGGAGCATCAGGTACCAGTCCGTTTTTCATGAATATCGTCTTCGCTAGGTTCAGCCTCAAGCCGATCTTTCCACAAACACTATCAAACTCGGCCAGCATTCGTTCCGCCTGCTCGATGTTCGGTGTTATAAGCACGATGTCGTCTGCAAAGCGGAGGTGATGTAGGAAGCGGCCGTCGACCTTCACTCCCAAGTCTTCCCACTCCAAATGACGCATGATGTTCTCGAGGGCGGCACTAAAAAGTTTGGGCGAAATAGTATCGCCTTGCCGGACACCTCTCTTCACGTTGACAATGACTTCCTTATAGAATGGTGAAATCCTGGTCGTGAAGCTGTCGTAGAGCTCACGAAGCATCCTTATATATTGCGTAGGAAAAGTACCCTCTAGGTTATAGGAACAGGATTTATGAGTTTCCCCTCAAACCACGCTTCCAGAGGGCGGAGTCTGGTCCCGCCACCCACCATAAGTGTTCCCATCCTGCCGCCTGTGTCATATGTAGTAGGATTATTGGCACGATAGTAATACGAATAAAGCGGAATTCATCCTACTGGTGTTAGGGGAAAACCGTGGGCGTTCCTTTCTTAGTAGAGACGACTGGGCGCGAATTAGCTGTATCCAAGAGCGAGCCACGACTTCAGTCCCAGTCCTCTTCTATACAATACCCACCCTAATTATACAAAAAAGCGAAAAAACGCGGATTCACGTTCTTTCGTCTATTCTTTATAACTAGGTCAGTTTTTATTTTTTTTCGCCCATAATATTACACAGTCCAACTCAGTTCAACGAGCTCTATAAAATGGTGTACTGAGAAACTGAATAAGTTAAAATTTGAAGGCCTCGTTCCATCGATGTTTCTGGGGGCACGTCATTAGCAGCGACGCTAGCTGTAATTAACCAGACGGCATTCCCTCCTATGGAAGTATTCATGGAATTGTGGAGCAGCCATAATATTTCAAAACTGAACAAAAACTAACCCCTTTCTTATGTTTTACTATCATTTTGACACCTATTTTTTCTAAAATCGACAAACTTGGTCATGCGCCATTCCTAAACGGGAGCTGGTTTTAAAGTAAAACATAGCAAAACCGAGTTATTCCCTAATGTCAGTGAATGATGTGCCTGAACTTCATAAATAGCTCACTTCTGTAGTTTACAAAATGTATGCCAGAGTTCAAGAAGGGACGCGATTTCATCATCCATATCCTGGTTTGCAGCATATTTTGACGAAGAACACACGTTTTCTTGCTTTTCTAATTGGTATTTACGCATACGGAAATCCTGCAGCACATTCATGGTTTCATGGTTCAAGGTTCAGTTAGTTTGTAAGAAATAGTTAACGGTCTTGAAGCCCCCCTTCACTAGGGCTTCTGAAATCACCTCAATGCGCTCGGGCTGAATCTCAATTTTTTGCTTGAAGCAAAATTCTGGAAACCTACATAGATGAACTCTAATTTCAAAATGCTACTCGGCAGTACGAAAATTATTTCACAGAATTCACTTCGAATCATCACCTTCACTGATCTTTCTCTACACTGCTCATTCACTCGACCACCCTAATCGACCCCTGGTCGCCTTCACTACTGCTCCGTCCTTCCACTAAGGTCACAGCCGATGTCACGCACCGTTACATGTAGCTGGCATGAGAGCCTTGATGCACTTAAGAGTACACTTTGATTAGTTTAAACTTACTATTACAACCGATTGTATCTCCTCTAGTTTTTCAAAGTATGAAAACCCACAGCAAGTATACATGCTCTGGGTTTTGTGGTTTGTGGGGCACTTTGCCCCCCGGTCTCGTCGGGACTGGTAGAGGGGGCGTTACCAATATGAACCGGCCAACTTAGCACAGAGCAGTACACATCGTTAGCCAACGACATTTATTAGCCATTTGCAAACGTTGTGCACGACGGAGGATTCAAACCCCAACGAACCAAAGTTCGAGTGTGGACGTGAAGCGAAAGCACTCTCTCTGCTGGTTGAACATGTTAGAACTAAGGCAAACAATACCATAATGGCTCGTGTCGATTGCCGCATTAACACACCAAGGTCGTATAGTTAACTGATTTTCGATGAGTCATTCCATGAATTTTTACCTGCTCCCTATTCTTTTTGAAGATAAGTAGTTGAAGCTTCCCATCGAAGTGGAGCGTTTTAGCAATGCCATTAAAGTGTGTGTGATGTCTGCTTTTTATATTTGTAATATTCGAAATCGTTGCCCTCACCGTTGAGTCTGGCTACAGCACCTCCAACTATCCATGTGCATTGCCCGCTGGCCTCAACGGCTCCTGTAGAAATAACCGTGAGAGTTTCTTTGCACATCGACAATAGCCTGCTCACTAATGGTACCGCAGTCGCGAAACTATTTTGCAATCTGCATATTTGAATGAAGCAATTGCGCATGAACTCGGAACTTAGGCTAATATTTATTCAAACACAGGAATCAATCAAAAAATTATAAGCATCCCGAATTATGATGAAATGAAGGGTGTAAATGCTTTAATCGGCCCTCATATTCTTTCCATTTTGTTCAACCACTCGATGGAGCTTCTTAATAATTACTAATATCTCGCGCACAATAGTGAGAGTTTTCCAGTAGATTAAGATTACATTCTTTAACTGTTCCAACGTTCGTACATTTTGCTTTTGCCTTCTCGAAAGACATGGTCACTTTACAAAGAGAATCAAATGATTGTTGTTGATCGGAACAAAACTTGATGAGGGCATTCATATTCCCCCATAGAAGTTCTATAGGGTACAAGTCAGGCGTTTCTGATGGCCAATCGAGAATCCAAGCATTCCACATTCGCAGGCGTGCAGTTGTACACGCTCTTATGAGCATGGGCGTTGTCCTGCACGAGAGCACCGAATCCTCAAAATTGCCAGTTACGATACACAATATTTTCATATTTTTGACTCTTTTCAAGAGCTCCAGGTAATCAACCATTGAAAATATTCTTAATGAACGGATCGTGACAGCATTCCGACATTTGGCAGTACTTTCCACTATCCATCCTCATTTCGCCGGAAAAAAGACCATCCTTGTTGCACCTCTCATGAATATTCCGCCCCAAAGATGAAGCCTCGTCGAATGCTTGGCTTTCGAGCGTATTCGCGCAAAGTAGTCGCCCTTTTCGCAAAACAGTTTCGGACATAACAGTCATCTATAAAAGTAATCTGATACCTTATAAGTAAGTGAAGTGGTTTATAAGCGTGACGTAAACGAACTCTGGATAGTGAACACATCGTTAAATATGCACTGACTAAAATCCTGGCTGGTCTCGATCATTCTTGTACAGAAGCTAGGTCTTTTCCCCCTATTGACGTCGCCAATCATGTGGCAGTTCTTTGCCGTAGTTCTTCGGTATCCTAATTTATTTCTCAGTCAGCGCATCTGTGAGGCACTTATGGATATATTCCGATCATGAAGACGCTTCATTATAAAAGGAATGTTAGTAGAAGAATCCGCTGAGTAACTGTCCACTATGATGCGTTTAGTTGTAGGCAATACGAAACGATTTTTTCGGGCTCGATATGAAACGCTTCACAAGGAAGTCCTTGAGTATAATGCTTCCGCAAAAATACACGAACCTTGTGGTAGGTGATCGTTGAGTCCAAAACTCGCAGCTGATTGTGTATTTCCGAAAATGATTTCCCGGCATGGTGCATGGGAAAAATTATGCGCTTTAGCGAATAAGAGACATCAGGAACGAGGGCGTCTGTTTTGGTCTGTTGCAGTGAAGTCATAGTAGGGGCGTTTACAATCACAGCAACGGTCATGGTCCAACGTTTCGGGATCACAACAGGGCGCTCCACGGGTATCGGGCCGAACTCGAGGCCGTATATAAAGGATGAAAGGCTGGATGTCAGCTAAACTACCATGGATAGAGCGATTAACACGATTGTTTTCTTCAATTCATCCAAGACTGCTGACATCGTCCCGCTGTCAGTTATTACTGGATATCACATTATCAACTCTACAAAGTGTTCTGGAATAAGAAATTCTACGCCGCAAAGTCGCCTATGATGAAATCTTGTGAAATAACTGCATAGTTTCTTACGATTGTTTTAATTGCATCGGAAAGTCGATGTGAGGAGAAGATAATAGATGCGACTGAAGATGGAAAATTGGTAGAGCGATTTTTTTCACAGTTGGAGAGAGCAGCACCATTCCTGAGAACAACGTTAACACTGAAGGAGGAGGCGAGTTTATAGCAAGTTAGACATGACGATGTGTGACATCGGGGTGCGACCTTAACGGAAGGACGGAGCAACGGCCAAGGCGATCAGGGATCGATTAGGGTGGTCGAGTGAATGAGCAGTGCATAGGGTGGCGAAGGTGTTGAACCGGATAAATTTTGTAAAATCATTTCCATATTGTCGGGTAGCATTTTGAAAGTGAAGTTCACCTATGTAATTTTCAGAATTTTCCTCCAAACCAAAAAAATTGAGACTAGTCTCGAGTCCATTGGGGTGATCCCAGAAGCCTAAATGAAGGGAGGGTTTCATGACAGTTAACTGTTTCCTACAGACCATGATTGGCCCTTGAACCATGAAACTATGAATGTAGTGCAGGACATCCATGGTTTCATGGTTCTTTCACGAACATTCCTCTGAATATGGTAAATGCCAATCTAAAAAGCAAGAAAACGTGCGTTCTTCGCTAAAATATGCCGCAACCAGGGATTTGGATGATGAAAACGCTTTCCTTCTTGAACTCGGACTCTCAATTTGCAAACTTCAGAAAAGAGCTATTTGTGAAGTACAGGCCCATCATTCACTGACACTAAGACTTAACTCAGAAATACTATTTGTCACTTTGAAAAGCCGCTCCCGTTTGAGTTTGGCTCATGACCAAATTTGTCAATTTTAGAAAAAATGGGTATCAAATAATAGTAAAACACTTTCTGCTCAAATTTAGAATATGAGGCTTGCTCCACAACTCCCTGGATACTTTCAAAAGGAGGGAGTGCCATCTGATTGATTAAAGCTAGCGTCGCGTGGTAATGACGTCCCCCCAGGAACTCTGATGGACCGAAAACTTCGAATTTCAACTATGTCAGTTTCTCAGTACATCATTTTATAGAGCTGACGTGCCCCCAGGAACTTTGATGGAACGAAGGCTTCAAATTTCAATTTCTGTAGTTTTCCAGTAAACCATCTTATAGAGCTCGTCGAGCTGAGCCGGACTACGTAACACTAAATGTGAAAAAGTGAAAACTAACTTATCTATAAAGAGAAGACAAAAAGATGCAAATCCGAGTTTTTTTTGCCTTTTCTCGGAATAATTAGGGTGGGTATGTATGTACGTCTTTCACAGATAGAGGGCTCCTCACCGAAAGAAATACACTGTCAATTTTTATCAAGTAGCAGGCATCTTCGGAATGGTGCTTCTTCAATGAAACATAGAGTTAGTCATTGACTGTTAACTCGAAGGAGTAATATTGATTAAGAGAAAATAGTATACATGTGAAGGATGTAACTACGTGGAAATAAATAAGTGAACCTTTAATTATGGAGTAGCTTCATCTGCAATTCAGGACTTTACCGCTACAAAAAAGGTTCTAAATGTCCGTAATTGCTATTGTGGTTGACCTCTTGATCCGACTGTGCATTACCTATGAGGAGCATAGGAAACGGTTGTCCATGATCACCACCAGCACTTTTTTCCTCACGATTTTTTCCCCCTTTGCTGCTTTCCGCAGTCTAACTGCATCATCGGTGATCCTCTACGGAGTTCTTTTTTCTTTTGATTACTACCCATTAGCACTCTTACTGTGTATCTGACTATGTCGGGTGCCCGTGTCTATCGTGCCATTATAATCTTACTCTTCTTCGTCTTCTTCAACGTTTGTCCTGCTCAAAAGCGGAGGCTGCTCTACTAGTGTACTCACGCCACTTCTCTCGATTGCATGCTTGCACGAGATGAAGGGCAACTGATTTGAACTCCTCATGCAACGTATTACGGAAGCGCCGAATAGGACTTCTTCAGGTCGTTTCCTGGGTTCCTTGGGTCTGGGGACCATCTTACAAAAACAGACTATGTGAGATATCGTGCCTTTATAATAAAAGCATGAACGGAAGACGAGTTCTGCACGACACGGCTTTCAGGAGCCATGAATCTGTCCAACATTTGTTACCTAATTTTTCGCACAATTTTTTATGGTCTCATATTGCAAACTCTTCCAGCAACATCGAAAAATCTTTTTCAGGTCGAGCTTGTCAAGGGCAAGTCGATCACGCTGACGACAGATGAAAAATACAAGGAGTCTTGCTCAGCGGATACTCTCTATTTGGACTATAAGAATATTGTTAAGGTAACTAATTCTATTTCCTTATCTATTCATTCATCGATTAATGGAGCCACTATAAAAAGAGCCTCGAAAAGTCACGGGTATGCGCAAAACATATAAAGACATTCCATGGTATCGCAGTCGGTCCACCAAATGAAGGCTCATCTTCGACATTTGGTTTTTTAAACGATATAACCAGGCTGATTAAATCGTTCATGAGAGAATTTAAGTCTTAGTACTTGACATAGTGCCGATGAGTTTTCGCAGAGAAAGATAAGGTTTCGAACTCGTAAATAAGTACTGCCGGACATGGGGAGTGAATTTGGCCATTTGAGAGTTGAATAAGCAAGGAAGAGGAAACTGGAATGCTATGTATGTTCATACATCTGAGTGGTGTCCTCGTATACCATGAAGACTTCTAGAAACTTCTAGGACATCCCACAAAAGACTTGAAGGAAGTCGTGAGAGGTTGCTGATCTAACGGAGCTTAGGAACATCTATGTTCTCAGGAGAAATGCAAGAAAGGAACGAAGGCCGGAAAACAGAGACGATGTCAAGTTCTACCATAACGGAAAATAAAACAAACGAAATTCATATACTGTCGTAGCAGTAGCGGAGTCCGTCAAGGTCTCGGTCTCCACTGCCACTGTCTGCCAAAATGATCAGCTGCCGAACCCTGGCTGTGAGCACATACAATAGAAAGTGTAATGAACATTAATACCCTTATAAGCCAGTTGCCCAGAGTGCAAAAGGTGTTCTCTCACTATTGCTGATGTTGTAAATGGCCACGTTTGGAATGAATGGAGAAACCTCGAGAGGATTCACGGAGACAAGTGAATAGGAGTCGAGAACGAATTTCGAGGGCGTAGAGCAATAGGAAGGAGGAAGGTTGGGAAGTTAACTGGTCTGGGGTATCAATCGAGGCTTGGAATACGCTGGGAACACACGGGAAAAAGCGGTTCACTCTATCAGTGGGCCCATTAAAGGAAGAATTCCAAATGCGTGGAGGAGCAGCACTATCGCTATCATTTTCAAGCAAAAGGGAGACACGATGGAGAGATCCAACTACGGAGAATCAGTGTTATTTCTGACACGATGTAAGTAGTATACGAGCGGTTGCTCGACAGAGGATTGAGAGAGTTTGCCCATCTCGCAGTAACAGTTCAGCTTTATATTCTGAAGGTCTACAACGGATGCCATCTCCACAGCTAGACAAGTAATGGAGAAGTATCGAAAAAGACGTAGGCCCTGCTACCTGACCTCCCTCGATCTGAAAGGACTTTCAACCGTCTCCTGCAACAAGTCCATTGGTGAGCGCTCCGAAAACATCCGAACACCTTATTTCTCTGATGTGTATTAGGACCCAAAACTACAATACACACACCGCACGGCCGAAATGATGCAGTAGAAGTCACGAAACCAAGGATCAGCTTTGAACTCGAACTGAACTCCTCTTCCTGCTTGCAATGAATATGGTAATGAAAGAACTCATGAATAGAACATTGAACCAAGAGGTGACATCGCTCTGATAGTGTAAAGCGAAGGCGAACTTTGAACACGCTTCAGAAATGGCAGAAAAAGCTGTTAGAGGAGTGCGCGGAGTCAATCGCAGACGGTATTGGAGAAGCAGTAGAAAAGCTACAATACTTTCGCCGCTGATGTTCGCGTATACCAGGGTAAGAACCCGAATAAGCTTAGCATGGATGAAGTAGGGAATCCACTAGTATCCTCTTCAACCGACGGTGCTCCAGGACGCTCAAAAGAGAAGTTCCTGGCAGTCGTGAGGCCCACAATGCTTATGGCAGCGAGTGCTGGCCCGTAAGTAGAAATCATAAATGATAGATTCACTGCGCTGAAGTGGAGGTATCTCAAAGAAAACAGTAGGCCTACGGTTGGGCATGACTGGACCAGTAGGAAACGAAGACGTCAGAGCGGCAATGCAATCAGCCCATGTCCAGCTGAAGATGACTGTACGGCGTCTGCGATGGTACGGAAACGTACTGCCACAGAACTAACCAATAAGGGAGGAAATGGACTTTGACGCTATAGGTAAGCGGTACGAGGTGTCTCAAAGAAAATGTGTCGAAACGTAGTCAAGAAGCAGCCGCCAAAGCCCAATCAGCGGTGGAAGTTGCTGAAGATAGAAAGAAGCGAAAACGGATGGCAATAACAGTGAACCACCTGCGACTGCGCCGATTTGGAGGGGAAGGGCAAATTTCTTTTTTACTGCTAGGAGCGGAATGCAAAATTATTAATGATTTTTTCGTAGACTATTACAACTTTGCTTGTGAGTTTTAATGTTGGACCCTTCGTGTCGCAGCATGTGGATGTTGTTATGAGCTCCGAGATTATTGAAATTACATACCCATCATTTCACTTCTACAATTCTTTGAGAACCAGCCTCATTTCAGAATTGATGAATATGTTTTTTGAGGTAGTGAAGAAAGGGTCCAGGGTCTATGTTGATGATGGTCTTATTTCGCTTGTCGTCGACGACATTAAAGACAATTCGATCTCTTGTACCATTGAAAATGGAGGAATGCTAGGTGAAAGACAGTGATTTTCTTGTCTTTCGCACTGTGATAAAGGCATTTATCTTGAGGTAGTCGCAAAGGTGTCAACCTTCCCGGAACAGCTGTCGATCTACCGGCTGTCTCTGAGAAAGACATCCAGGTGAGATTACAGTATGTTTATGACAAGGCCTTCAACAAGTCATTGTGAATGCGATTTTCGATTTATTGAATAGTTGACAAACTACTTCTTGCCATTCATATAGTCAGCTATGACGCTTGATTTCTGCCGTTCAGTTTCTCAGCAAGAAAATGTTCTCCTTCAATTCCTTCAATTTCACTGTCGGTATACAATGTTTTTCCTAAGGTCTGCAATGACTTCAGGATCTGAAATTTGGAGTGGAACAGGGCGTAGACATGATTTTCGCTTCTTTCATCCGGAACGCAGATGGAGTTCGAGCAATACGAAAGGTGCCCTTCATAATTCAGATGAAGCTGGAACATACTCACAAAGCTGAATTCAGGTTCTTGGTGAAAAAGGAAAGAACATCAAGATCATCTCTAAAATTGAGAATCAGCAAGGTCTTGACAATTCCGATGAGATCATTGCGGAATCGGACGGTGTTATGGTGGCCAGAGGTGATCTTGGAATTGAAATCCCGACTGAAAAGGTTTTCATAGCGCAGAAAGTGAGCCATTTCTTACATATTCCGAATTGACCGCACTACAAATGTATTCCGATTTCTCATTTGACTCAGATGCTACTTGCAAAGTGTAATCGGGCCGGAAAACCATGTATTTGTGCAACTCAAATGCTTGAATCAATGACGAAGAAACCTCGTCCCACAAGAGCCGAGGCAGGAGACGTTGCAAACGCTGTAAGCCATCTGGCTATCACTTGAATTCGAGCACTTAAATTTCAACCTCCTAGTATTTGCGATGTTAAGGTCCAAAGTCTTGGGGCGTCAATCGATCCCGTCCGAAGGATACGCTCACGCATTCAACTTCCACTCAGAATCGGAGTGGCATATTGAATGCGTATGTTCCCTATACAATGACTCGGGATGGCCAGCCTATGCACAAAGCAGTGAAGCAGTCTTCCTTCCCTCTGGGGTCGGTTTGGAACCGATCCCGGAGGGAAGGAAGGCTTGGTTGGCCTAGGCGGATATCGATCTATGATTCGAACCCGTGAGCATGTGTGTGTGTGAAGTGCGCAACTTGTCACTACACCATTTGCGCCCATTTGCAAAGTATATATCATTAATGGATGCGTTTATGCTCTTTCCTCAGCTGTCCAGCTTGTTGCAAACATTATAACAGCAAGCAGCATTCAGGTACTCGATGGTGCGGACTGTGTGATGCTGTCCGGCGAGACTGCCAAAGGAGATTATCCGCTCGAGGCGGTGAAAACCATGCATTTCATATGCAAAGTGAACATTCTTTCCGAGATTTTAGTTTCCCTTTTGCCAATCTCAAAAAAAAAAGGTTTCTATTGACAGGATGCCGAAAATTCAACCTATCATGCTGAATTCCTGCAAGATCTTCTCGCAGAAAGCGTTCGACCGTTTGACATGACTCAATCTACCATTATTGCAGCTGTAATTGCAGCAATCAATTGTCATGCTGCGGCCATTGTTCTCGTTACCTCCACTGGAAGGCAAGTTTAATCTACTAGCTTGAGATTGTGTTACTGATCGAAGGTGAAGATCGGCATTCTCTTCAGAACTGCCATCTCCTGCTCCCGTTACAAAACTCCTTTTCCAATTATTGCAGTCTGTCGTCAAGCAAACGTCTGCCGTCAGCTAAACATTTGCAGGTTAGTGCAGGATTTACAACAACCTTGTTTTTGAGGCTTTGAACCCAAATGTGTATTCACTCATCTTCAACATGGAATCCAGCTGAAGCGAAAAATCTTGTGAAAATGTGGGCAATCACTCTCACCAGCGAATTCTTAATTGAGTCACCTGAGTCTTTTCTGGTTTAGTGGGAAGAAAATACTTCCATCCACGTCGTTATTATAAACTTGTGAACGGTAAGAAGGAAGTAAGCTTGTGCGAAGTGGCGTCGAACAGACCACAGTTTTTTTTTTCTTTAGATAGATAACATGCCTTCATGAATATCATCATAACTATGTACATCCTTACTATACATGCACTATCCCTCTTCTTTATAAAGCAGTAACTTGGTTTTGGTGCCCGAAGTGAATGGCACCAGAGCGGTGGTGCCCGCCGTGTACGGCACTGGGGCGGTGGTGCCCGCCGTGGACGACACCGGGGCGGTGGTATCCGCCGTGAACGGCACTGGGGGTGCCGTGGAGGGCACTGGAGCGGTGGTGCCCGCCGTGAACGGCCCCGGGGGTGCCGTGGACGGCCAGGGGCGGTGGTGCCGCCTAGGACGGCAAATGAGCGGTGGTGCGCGAAGTGAATGGCACCGGAGCGGTGGTGCCCGCCGTGAACGGCACTGGTGCGGTGGTGCCCGCCGTGAACGGCCCCGGGGGTGCCGTGGACGGCACTGAGGCGGT